TTTAATCCCTGCGCCACCAGGGTGGCCCCTGAAGCCACTTTCTTTCTTTATTTTTTTAAAAAGGTTGTTACTTTATTTTTTTATTTTTATTTTTTTTTAAATAATAAATTTTATTTTTATATTCCCCTTACAATAGCAACACCCCCATTCTGACCCAATCCCTCCCCTCCTGCCCCCCACTCCCCAAAAAGTGTCTCTGGTTCATAGTTTTTTGTTGATTTTGATTTTCACTTTCTTATAATTATTCATTTTCCTGGTCCCTTATTTAGGTTTTCTAGATTCCTGCTATGAGTGAGGCCATCCGGTATTTTTCTTTTTCTTTCTGGCTTATTTCGCTGAGCATGATCCCTTCCAGCGCCATCCATGTTGCTGCAAACTGCATGTGTTTATCTTTTTTGAATGCTGAGTAATATTCCATGGTGTATATGGACCACATCTTCTTGATCCAGTCATCTATTTTTGGGCATCTGGGTTGTTTCCAAAGCTTAGCTATTGTAAACAGTGCTGCTATAAACATAGGGGTGCAGGTGCTCTTTGGAATGGATGTTTCTGTGTCCTTTGGGTAAATACCTAGGAGTGGAATTGCTGGATCCTATGGAAGCTCTATGTTTAGTAGGTCCAGAAATCTCCACACAGATCTCCATGGTGGTTGGACCAGTTTGCACTCCCACCAGCAGTGCAGGAGAGTTCCTTTTTCTCCACACCCTCGCCAACATTTGTTGTTGCTAGTTTTTTAATATGTGAAGCCACTTTCCTTAGACCTTTTCTGTGTGATTCTCTTAAGTGAGGCAGTGACAGTGAGCCCCGCTCTACTTAGCTTTATTAAAAAACGAATCCAGGGCCTCCCCTGGTGGCGCAGCGGTTGAGCGCTGGGCTTCGACGCTGCCCACAGTCTCTGCAGCACCGGTTCGCTCCCTGGCCACTGGTGAGGGTCCCACACACATACAAAAAAAAACCCATCTGCATTGCAAAGTGAATGTGCGGGTCACTTTTTGTAGTTCTATTGAAGACACTGGCATTTTCTAAATATATTCTAGGGCCTCCTTGGTGGTGCAAGGCATTAAACACCACACTAGGAAGCAATCTGCAGCCTCTGCAGCACGAGTTTGATCCCCAGCTGGCCAGGGAGCTACCCATGTGGCTCAGCAGACGGCTCCTGACTCGCCTGCTGCTCCCCTCAGCAGTGCTTTCGGTCCGTCTGCCTGTTCTGCTCCCCTCTCTGTCTCTGGTGACCCCTCTCACCCCCCACATCTCTGGCCTGTGCCCAGCTCTTGTATGCATAAATAAATAAGTTATATATATATATATTCTAGATTCTGCATGAGGACACTCATTTATTAATCATCAAGTGCTCCAGGAATCCCTACTTGCATCCTCCAAGATAAGGAAAGCCTCACATAGTCCTTCTTCTCCCCTGGGTGAATTTACTACCTCCTTTGTGCTGAAGACGACCTTCCTCACCCAGCAACTGCCGGGAAAGGATTCGTCTCCATGTCCTTCCTCAGAAGACTAATGCCCCATGTTTAGGACCGTCTCCAACATTCCAAACTCCATTGAGGTGCGAGCCCCAGACTGGATGTATCTCGAGCGTCCACTCGCTGGCCTCCTCCAGCTCGGAATTGGGCGGGGTCCGGGCACGTGTGACCGCGAGTGCGGACCAGGCCGGGGTGCGGGGATCAGGGCTCCAGCCGCCCCCAGTCCGCGGAGGCAGCTCCCGGGCGCGCGCCTCCGTCCCCTCTCCAGAGAAGGGCGGACTGTCCGCGCGGACCTTCCCGCAGATCCTCTTCTCCCCGGAGCCCCCAGCGCGCTGGAGCCGGAGAGGCTTGGAGAGAGCTCGCGGCGCCGGGGGCCTCGCGGTCCCGGCTGACCACCGTCAACACGCGTTTTTGGGGGGACAGTGGACAGGAGGGGCGGTGCAGAGAGGGGAGGCCGGGCGGGGCCGGGCCGCCCTGGTCTGAGCGCTGCACGGGCGGGCGGGAACGTCCTCCTGGTGCCGGGGGAGGGAGGCTGAGGGGCATCGGCTGGAGGGGACGCCGCGGGTTGGGCGAGGCCGGGCAGAGCCTCCAGGCGGGCCCTGGCTGCGCCCTGGGCCAGGGTGGCACCAGCAGGGGGGCGCGGCCGCGGGGCTCCTCCTGTCCTGGCCCTGGAGGAGGCAGAATCCGGCCTGGGGAGGCGGAGCCGCCGGGGAGGTTGAGGCGGCGGCTTCCAGGGGCGCTTCCAGGCGCCGGAGAGAGGCGCGCGGGAGAGGCCGCCCAGGAGCGCGCGGGAGGAAGGGAGCTGGCCCCGGGCACGACGCTGGCCCCGGGCACGACGCTGGCACCGGGCACGAAGCTGCCCCGGGCAGCGACCAGAGCAGGAGGGAGTGGCCGAGGAGGGAGGGCAGGCGGCCCGAGGCCTGGGATCGGGAGCGGCATTGGAGGAGATTCCTCAGCCGCACCTAAGGGTGACATGAGAACGTCGCTGGTGTTGGCGGCTGGACTGGTCAGCGGCGGCGAGGCCGGGGCCTGTGCGACAGACCGAGAGCTGGGGGGGCGGGGGGCGGCCGGAGGCCAGACCCGAGGCCTGCTCTGGGAGCGCGCAGGGGGACGCGGAGCGCCCGGGCTCTGCGTGCTCTCGCCAGTCCTGGGGGTCCCCACAGACCCTCCACCTCCCCTTTTTTCTGAGCTCCAAGCAGGTGGCCTCGCCGCAGGTCACCGGACTCAAACCCGAGGCCATGCGAGCTGCGCAGCCTCCACGCGGTCACCAGCCGAGCAGCACCTGCCCGCGGGGCCCTCCAGGCGCACCGGGGCGCAGCCTGCTCCTGAGAATGGTCTGGGTGGACCTGAGAATATAGGGCAGCGCCAGGAAGCTGGGGGAACCCTGAAGTTCAGGGGAACAGCCCTCGTGTTAGCACAGGCTCCCAGAAGTGGGTCACCGCAGAAAATAGATGACATTTGCATTTGGTTCAGGACGAGGAGCCAAGAAGCCGCCTGGAGGACGAGGTGCACAGGCGGGCACGCCTGGGGGTGCAGGAGCCCCGTTCTCAGCCCAGGCGCTCCCTTATCCCTCCCGGGGACAGCACACACTCGGGAGGGGAGACGTCCTGGCGTCCCTCTAGGGACCGCGGGGATTCTCTGGGCGCAGCTGCTCCCTCAGACCTGGCACAGCCCGAGCCGGGGAAGCTCAGAGGCAGGAAGGTGGAGACGCGTCTCCCGTCCACCCCCACCGGTGCTTGTGGCGGCGCCTCTCTCATGCCCGCCAGGCGGCTCCGGCAGACTATGGCTTACATAACCCATCACTCCCCCCACAGCACCAGGCGACTGGCTGAGAGGAAGGAATTTAATAAATTGCATCAACACAAGTCACAAAGGCAAAGAGCAGACCTGACTGACAGCCGGGGGAAGGGGAAGCAGCCTGTTCACTGGGAGAGAACCCCCTTTTCCAACAGGAAGTTTTCCCTCATGATCGTGCACCATCTATTTACATTCCAAGTCTGCCCCATCCCAGATCTCTAACACACAGACACAGATGCAGAGGAGGGAGGGGAGCAGATTTCAGAGACGTGGGAGCCCCGGCTTCTTCTGGGAAAATGCTCCCCCGGCTTGCATGGAAAGCTGTGCCGAGGTGAGGCTGGATGGCACAGACAAGCCAGAGGCGGCCGCACCCGGCGGTTCCTGTCCAGGACACTGAGCGTGGCCGTCCTGCCAACCGCCGCGATGGGGCGCCGGGCCGAGTTTGATCTTTACTTATTTTTATTGAAGTGACATCAGTTTATAACATTATATAGGTTTCGGGCATTCGGCCTTTTAAATCCACGTTGGTGCAGACATGTGTTCACCACCAGCACCCTACTCCCGCCACAGTGCACTTGGCTCTCCGCACCGTCAGCCACCCCCTTCCGGCTCCCCCTCTGGTAGGCGCGATTTTGTCCCTGTAGTCTAAAACCTTGTTTTCTTTTTGATCAGTCCTTTTGCTGCTTTATCTGCCTCCTATGAGTGAATTCACATGTGCCTTCCTCAGTCTGACTTAAGCCACTGAGCACCAGCCCCGGGACCCACCCACGCTGCTGCAAGGCCAGATTTCATCTTTGCTCTACGTGCATCGGACTCCACCCCGAGCCTGGATCCGGGTAGCTGGGCACACAGGGAACGAAGCCCTTAAGACTCAGTCCAGCGCCTGCAGGGCTTGTCGTGAGTGTGGCTGCTCAGCGTACATTCACTGCCAACCAACCACTCACTTTCCTTGGCGAGACAGAGGTGACAAAACCCCACCTGAGGGTGTGCACCCTGGGGATGAGAGCCTGGGCAGCCCCGAGTTACAGGATCTCGAAGCAAACAGTCTTTGTGGGTGCTTTATTTGATTTTAGGTTCTGCTTCTTCCTTGCATTAGAGAGAGGTATTCCTTCAGCATTTATTTTCCTAAATAATCATCAAAAAACAAGCGATCCATGAGGCCCCAGGCCCTGCACATTTTGTAAAATTACATCCAGACTTGACAGAGCAGGGGAGTCCCTCCGGGTCCTGCAACTCCCCGTGCATATTGTGTAGGGTCCAGGCTGGTGTTTCTGGGCTTTCGGACTCTGCGGGGGTCAGTCTGCTGGACGCGAGCCAGGGATGCCAGGCCCTGGCTGCTGGGGCTGGGGTGCTCCTCAGCTGCCGCTTCCCCGCGACCCGCGCCTCCGGCCGGCGGGACACAGCGCCACCTGGCGGCCGAGCGCGGCACCGCCGGGCGAGGCGCTCCCGCGGCCCGGAGTCTCGCACCCCCTCTGCGGTTGCATCCTGGGGTCCTGCTGCACCCGAGCTGCACCCCACCCGAGCTGCACCCCACCAAACGCCGTCGTCCCTTTGCATCCTCTCAGGGCTCCAGTCGTGTTTTGCAAAGACTCCAGCTGCGGCCGTGCTGGGGGCCGCTGGCTTTGCGCGCATGTGAGGGTTTCCTCTCGGTCCGCACGCCCTTCCTGGGCGCCAGAGCTGTTGTCATCACCCCCCCCCCATTTTTTATTTTCTCTCTCTCTTTTCCAGATCGTCTACAAAGCCTGGCTGTGTTCCCAGTACTTCGAAGTCGCACAGTCTAACTGCAGAAAGACAATCCCTTGCAAGCAATACTGTCTGGAGGTTCAGACCAGGTGTCCGTTTATCCTGCCCGACAACGACGAGGTGATCTACGGGGGGCTCTCCAGCTTCATCTGTACAGGTACAGTGGGGGGCTCGGCCCCAGCGCTCGAGGCCCCTGGCCCGGCTCCGTGACGCGCCCCGCGCGGCACCTGCTCCCGGCGCGACCCCGCAGGGGCTGGGGTGTCCCACGCCGCTGTCCCCGAAGGCCCGGGGCCGTGGGCTTAGCCATGGCCAGTGGGCGCAGCCGCTGCCCTGCAGGAGCCCCGCTGGCAGGTGCGCGCGGGAGCTGCTCGCTCGGGGCGCTGGGGCCGCTCCTGCCCGCGCTCTCGGGGCCGGGCCAGGGCGGGCGGCCCACGCCAGGGGGTGTCTCCTCAAGTGTGAGCTGCTGGAGCTCCCGGGTGCGAGCTCAGGACAGGTGAGGGGTGTGTGGCCTGCAGGTGTTGCGCACGGCAGAAGATCCCCCGCGTGCGAGCGCGCGCCTGACCCTGCAGACTAACGCGCGCCCGAGCTCCCCGCCGGTCCTCGCGGGAAGAAGCACCACGCAGCGCCCTCCACCCAGCACCTGCCGCCGAGGCATGTTGTTCCCGTGTTTACGGGGAAAACAGCACCCCAGGTGTCAGGCAACACGGAAAGCCTCTTCCTTACGGGACGCTTGAGAAGCCCCCGCCCAGACAGAGGGGCAGGAGCGGGGTGACCTGGCCGAGGACGAGCAGGCCTGTCCTGCTGCCCCCAGGTGTTCTCAGCGCCACCTCCTCGGGAAACAGGATGCGCACCCCCTGCTTCCCCTGCTGGCTGCGGGGACCGCAGAGAAGGGGGCGCTCGCGCTGATGGGAACTGGGCACTGCGCACCCCACGTCCGCAGACTGTCCTGAGAAGCCACTTGCAGTCGCTGTCCCCCCTGGGCTGGAACCTGAGGTCGCTCTTCCAGCAGCTGCTCTGGGGGGCGGGACAGCAGGCCCGAGTCAGGGAGGTGTGGGGTGGAGGGAAGGGGGTAGATACTCACAGCTTCACTCAGTCCTCTGGCCAGACACAGGCTACACACTTACTTGCCTTGCACATAAAACTTTGAACAAATGCTCACCAAGATAAGAGCTTCGGTGACTCTGGGGTCAGCGAGGTGTCCATGCTTTCAAGAAACTCACGGGATGTTATGGAAAAGTGGTTTTATTGTGCATCCGCGTGCACACAGCCTCTTCGCTAGAGATGGTCAGTGATTTTCACCAGGCTCTTGAATTAGATGAAGCCCTCACACGTCTTCAATTTCTGTCTCTTGGACTCACCTGTACACATGAATGTCAACTATGGGCTTGATTCTGCCCCTCCCGGTCCGCTTCCGAGGCCGCCAGAAGCTGAAGATGCGTCAGCGGACCACTCACCCGATGTTTTCAATGGTCTTTAAGTTTTATAAAATCAGCATTTCCAGAGCCACAGTTTGAGTATAGACAGGTAGAGAGATTTGTCATTGGGTCCAGAGAAGCACCGTCAAGAGAAGCCTTCTGGAGACTCTCATCCCTGAATTTCTGGAGACCCGACCTCCTTGATCTCTGCCACTGGGTTCATGTTCCTTTCATGGCTAAACGTCTCAGAACCTGGCCTGCCTTGATCGCCCACAGCCATTGCTCTGCACCTGGCGCCTCGGCTGGCCCTCGGGTTTTGCTGTTGGTCCTCAACAAGAAATATGTTTCTACTGAATGAAATCACTCAGTGTCTGTCACTGCAGAGCAAGGTTCAGAGCACGTGACCAGAAGAGCCTCCATCTGGGCCGGAGCCCAGAGAACAGGGCGGGAGAGTGTCTGCTGGCCTAGGGGCCCTGGTCAGGAGGTGGGACCAAGTGGCTCATCACACTCTGGGGAACTAGCAAGACTTTCTAGTGCAGTATTTGTTTCTGAACATTGTCACGTAATCTGGGGACTCACCACTTACAGGTGGGCATGGAGATGCCAATAACTCACCTCTTCGGGTTTTAGCTCCACTCTGTATGCTGGAAAAGACAATGATTTATCATCAAGAGTCGGAGGAATAGATGAAATTTCCTTCAAATTCAACAAATGAATGACGGATTTTTCCCCCCTGTGGGAAGTACTATTATTCCCAGCTTCTGCAAGGAGACAGGTCCCCTCTAGATGCCACTGAGGAGTCTTCATGCACTTGGCCCAGCGACCTCTGAACGTGCTCTGGAGGCAGGTACCTACACACGGCGCCTCGCAGGTGCTCTCCTGCCAGGGCCAACCTCCCTGACAATCCAGCGGGGCGAGGATGACTCTTCCTTAGAGACTCTGCCTCTAGCCTCTCGGAGATAGGGAGTGATGGAATAGCCAGCGCCTCTTCCCACCAGGTAGCCAGTGATTCTAGGATCCTATCATCCACCAAAAAAAAAAAAAGATATATATTTATATATGCATTTCAGCCCTTAGGATCAGTGAGGCATTCAGAAGGCTCAGAACAGATCCATTTCTTTAAACCAGGAGTTCAGTATAACAGGTAACAGCCATGGACTCAATGCCTCATTTCCCTATAATGCAGACTTTACTCACCTGTGTCTGACATGTGAATGTTTTAAATTTGGATAAATTTGTATGTACCTGTGGTCATCGGCTATGTCATGTGCCGTGATCATTAGCAAACCAGCAAGTTATTAAAATATGGGACTGAGGTCACGTGCCTATTTCTAGCCACTGTCTTTGGCTGAGGGCATTAGAGAAATGATGGGCAGGTGTCCAGCCACAGCCCAGGTAGCTCAGCCATGGCCCCAGGTATGCTAGCCACGGCCCCAGGTGTACTAGCCACAGCCCCAAGGGCACTAGCCATAGGCCCAAATGGCACAATAGCCCCTCTTATGCTTAGTTCACATTCTGTTCCAGGAGATGAAGATACTTTGCCTGACATTCCTTAGTTTTTCTGTTAAAGAACAAAACTGACATATGACTGAAAGCGTGTTTAAAAAATGAATTAGGGAGAAGTTCTGCAGTGCTGTCAGGGCCAGGCTGTCATGTAACGGCAGCATCGGTGAGCTAACATGTCTCCAGGTGGGTCTGTCCTGAAGCCGGCTGCCGAGGTGTTGCTGCTTCAGAAACTCGGTTTCTCGGGGTTGAGCACGAGGGCAGAGCCGCTGGGGACCCGCCCCAGCCCCGCCGATGGGGCGGGCTCCCGCACCCCACTCCCCCGCTTGTTCCAGAACCCTCTGGAGAATTCCTTGATTGCTTACCTGAAATAGTGAGCCAACATTAAGAAAACAGAAGTAGCAGAGGATCACAGGCGGTGGGTGCTATGGCAACAAACATTATGAAAATTACCCTTTGATTGGCAGGTAAAATAGACTCCACGCGAGCTACTGCTCTATTTTTCACAGAGAAATTGAGAAAAAGGAAAGTGGGTCTGCTGGGGTTACTGACAACAGTTATAAACCATATTTGGAGGATTCTGTGTGCACCCGTGTGTCACACAGAACAGAGTAATCCCTATTACTCTATTCTGCAGGGCCCGCGGGCGAGGCCCGGCTGGGCGGAGGAGGGAGACCCTGGGGCCTGTCCACGCGTGGCTGGTGGAGCTGGGCCTGCAGGGCTCTCGGGTCGCCAGTAGTGAGAACAGAATCCTGAGTCAGAGGGGGGACGCCCCAGGGGGTATTCCAAAATTTATTCTTGCCTGAACACTGCTGCTTCTTGCTTTCACACGACAGAGGTCACAGCTGCAAAAGTCTTTCCAGTCTGGGTCTGCCTTGACGAGGGAGTTGGTGAAAGTTTCTAAAAGACAGCATGACATAAAGAACATTCTCACAACAGGCGTGTTTGAGTAGAAAAATCTTTGTAGACCCTGAAGCCATGTCTACGCTGTCACCAACGCCAGTGTCTTCCCCACATGTCACTCTGTCCCCTGTTCTTTAAAATGCCAGGAAAGTGGGGCTGGAACGGAACCATGCGATACCAGGTGACGGAGACCAAATCTTGTCAGAAATATTTAATAATTTAGACCAAAACAAAAAGGTGAAGGGAGATAGTATGACCAGGATAAATTTTTAAAACTATGAAAAAGAGGCTTCCCTGGTGGCTGAGGGGGTTAAGTCTCAGCGCTGTCACTGCTGCAGCCTGAGTTCAATCCCCAGCCAGGGAGCTGCCCACATGGCACAGCAGACCCCTCCTGTCTCCCCGCTGCTCCCTTCAGCGGTGTATTTCAGTAGATCTGCCTGTTCTGCTCCCCACTCTGTCTCTGGTGAATCCTCTCACCCCACACCTCTGGCCTACACCTCGGTTTTTCTATGCAAAAAAAAAAAAGTACTTCCTAGAAAACGTGCACCTTATGGAATGTGGGCAGCTCCTCCCACTACCTCTGGGGTTTCAGCTCCACACACTCCCTCATAGAGCAAGGCCTCCACACCCAAGATTGTCTTCCCTGACGCCCCTCCACACCTTCCTCACAGTCCCAGTTTGCCTTTGCTGGGCACATACTGTGGGGGAAGAACCCTGGAACAGGAAAGGGATTTGGGTCCTGCCACAAGATGAGAATTTTAGAAAATCATTCAACGGAGGTTTCCATTCCCTCGTCTGTCCAAGTGGCTGGTGGTGCTGGGCCTCCAGGGCACTCGGGTCGCTGGTAGTGAGAGCAGAATCCTGAGTCAGATGGGGGACGCCCCGGTGGGTATTCCAAAATTTATTCTTGCTGTATTTTGCCTTAGTGTGCTCTTTGGTTATTTGTGTTCTATTGATTAGTGAAACCATCTGAGTCTGTCTTTCACTTTCTGACTTATTTCAATTAATATCATCACCTCAAAGTCTATCCATTTTGTCCCCAAAGCCATTACTTTACCTTTTTCACAGCTGTGTAGTATTCTACTGAGTCTATATCACACAATATTTTTAGTCATCTATGGAAGGGCACTTCTTTTGCAATGTAATGTCTGTTGGTATGTTCAATAGACATTTCACTGCTGCAAGATTCATTTTAACTATCCATATCTGCCACACTGCAAGGCTCTCCCACCTCTTAGTTTGTCTGTGAATAGAGTCGCCACCAACTGAAGCCATGAGTAGGAGCTAAGTCATGTGGTCATGCTAAGGTCACAGCTGCGAGCTGGCAAGAAGCACA